CTTGGGAGAGTCTGCGAGGAAGGAATCAATGTGGAACTGAAACATAGAAAGCTTGATAAAAAGCCCTTAGAAAATTATTCACATGATGAAGTAGAATTTTGTCTCACTGCTTCATTCACAAAATGCTTTAATATTTAAATACATAAAATAATTTGTATTAACCATGTTTCATGTATACACCTATTCGACTTTCCTTTTATCTTATAGGCAGTTTTACTCATATGAACTGTCTCACACATACCCTTTATTGATTCATCATCAAAACCCAAAATTAATGAGGACTTAACGTGTTTAAGTGCATCATATACATTAACTGTTACAGTAAATCTGTTATCAGTGATTCAAATCATAAAATTTAAATTAAAATCCAAGTAACCCAAGTATAACACCTATGGCTTTACAGAGTTCTAAGGAAATTAAGAAAACTAAAATGATGTTTTTAATCACATTTTTAGTAATCTAGAGCAAAACACATTGAGATATATCAAGATATTTCCCAAAACAATTTTAAAGCATAGTGCATAGTGTGTGTGTGTGTGTGTGTGTGTAAGTGTGTGTGTCACATGTACCTGTATAAGATAACACATCTGTGAAAGGCAGAGGATGAATTGTAGAAACTAATCACCTTTCACCATGTAGATCTCAGAGACTTAACTGGTTATCGGACTTGGCGTGAAACACGTCTATCCCCTGAGCCATGGCACAGGTCCTGTGAGCCATGTCACAGGCACTCAAAACAAATTTAATTTAGCAACTTTTATATGTTTCTTTATATAGAACATTCAAGATACTTCTTAATTAGACATAATAGTTCAAAACCTAAAAACAGATGAGCAATGAAGGAGACAATATAGGCAGAACTTTAAACACTCAAAGTTTATCATCACAGTAGCAAAGGAAATACAATTTGTCTTTCTGCTGTACCAATATCTCTATTGACACCTCTTGTTTTATTTTACATGAAATATCTATATCCTTAATACATGTTGACATACGCAGACTTTTGGGAATTCTATGATACTATGGACTCTTTTGTGTAACTATAAGCAGTAACCTAAATTTAAGAAAGAGAGACTATGAAACAAGAGATACAGTGGTATCCTGGCACCAACAATTTTTAAAAGATCTAAAATGTTAAGAAAAGTGGACAGGTTGTACATTTCTCAGGAAGTGTATCAGAGAGAGAAATTCTAGGGAAAAGATCAGGTTTATAAAACACTGTGTGCATTGCTGATTAGTATTCCAGAAACATGTCACCAAGTGAAATCCTTTGTTTCATTTTGCTTTCAAGAATGGAGCAGATACCCAAATTACAAACCAGAGCCAAGGTCACATCAAACTGACAACCATATTTCCTTGAGTCTGAGTCCTTTGGATATTGAATTTAAGACAGAAAGGATCTAAAGTATAGCCTTGAAAATATGCTTTACCCTTCTGGACTTCATCTCTCTGAACTATAAACTACTGCACATGTGGATTTGTAGGGATATGTTTAAGATTATGTAAAAAGCAGACTTTGTATAGTGTCCACAGTGGACATAATTAAATTTAAAATGCAGTGATTGAAAGTTACTAGAAAACTTTACCTCCTCATCTACAAATTTATTCATTTAGCCTTTAGCGTTGAACAGAGATATAATGTTGGTTCTTCATCTCTGAGGTTCTGTAGATGAAAGCAAAGTGACAAAGTAGAGAAATTTAGATCCATTAAGGTTAGTTCTCAAAAAATAAAAAAAGTTATGTCTGATTCAGCTTAGTGTACTAAAGAAAACGTGAAGAGAAAATAAAAGATCATTGGTAAATGCACTGGAGGAAGAAACAATAATACATGGTTTTATTCCCCATAAACAATATGCAAGATAAAAATAAAGCCCATATCTATAATCCCAGCACTCAGGTAAAGATCAGTTCATGAACTAAATAGACAGACCCTGCCCCAAATTTGATTAGCTATGGAAGCTAATAATGGAAGAAAGGTGAACTGGAAGGGAAAAACGAAAAGAGAGAGAGAGAGGGAAGGAGAAAGAGAGGGAGGAACATGTTATCATTTCATTTTGTCAGGAATGACTTTCCAGCTTCTTGAGGTCATTTCCCTCTCAGCCTGATGCAAGGCTTACCTCAGTGTGTGAAAGGGCTGTGACAGGAGAGATGACACACAAGTCTTTTTGGCTGATTACAGTCACACCTTTAAACTGCTTCTATGAGATTCACATTGGGACCTTTTGGGGAAGACATAAATGAGGAAAAGTATGAGCTAAGCTGTGGAAAGTAAAGGAAATAGAAAATCTGGTACATTGCACATCCTTATGCCATTCTCTGTGCCTGTAAAGGTCCGTCTACTGTTGAGAAGAAATGCCAATAAAATGCTTCATTAGATACATAGATAAGAATATAAAAAAATCCCCTGTGTGTGGGAATAGAAGTTACCATTATATTTTTATGTTTGAAGAACTGTATAGAAAGTATTTAAATATGTAGATTCAGGCATCTATCCTCTGTCACTTTCTCTCTCAGCACACACACCTATGCTTGTGCATTCACACATGCATATGATATATACATATACTCTTACATTTATTCCAGTTCTTAATTCCTTGTGGTTCCTGAAATATATCATGTGGAAGAAAGCAGAAGCAAGCAAAAACTTAATAAAATGCTGAATTATGCTGTGATATTTTGACCATCCACATAACTCACATAGTGCTGATCCATCTCTAATTGTTGAGTCCAAATTTGTAAATGTGTAAACAGGAACATCTAAGTCAAACAGCTGCGTCTTCATGGGCTGTAGTAATAGCTGCCCTTGATGCTTAATCGAGTGTTCTGTGCTTGCTTCTAGCTAGCTGAGTTCTTTTGCAAAGATTTTTCAGGTGTGCTGTGCACATTCTCCATAAATACAGCCTGAACAAAACAGGTTTTCCAGAATCTGTCCTCCAAGCCAATGAGTGAGTCAATCAACAAAGTTTTGCATTCATCTATAAATGGGACTTAAAGAGAAAATGACAAATTCTTTTCTGTTTTCTAATCCAGTGAGCCAATTATAAGTATCTTTTTTACCCAGTTAGAGTCACTTCCTTGTGACATATTCCTCTCAGCTAGGACTGTGCTGTAGAAGCAAGATGAGCTCCCTGTCCTAAATTCCAAAAAGAAATGAGTCACTTGTTATTTACGGAGTTCTCATTCTATATGACTAAAGAAAGAATCGGAAAAAAATAGAACCTGTAGGGTCTTTTCAGCCTAGTCCCTACGTTAAAAAAGAAGGTGGTTATAAGTTATTGGAAGTATGCTGCCAAATGTTTCTAAAGTATTTACATTTCTAGCAATTACTGACTACAATCCAGCCACATCATTAACACAAATCGAGAAAATGCCAGAGTGCAGAGTACTGATGTATTCATCTTAGGATGCAGGCCGACTACCTTCACCCATTAGTGTTCAAACATGTTAACAAATGGTACATATCCTTACTGTAGAACTTGCCAGGTAGAACTTTCAAATGACCACAGAATCCAGATTAGTTACATCAGGGAAAGGATTTAAGCCAAGAGCAACTCAAGTTTTACATGATTTTAGTGCCAGACAACAATATTTAATTCATCTTCTCTTGTTTCCAGAGTTAAGAACCCTAGATTTTCAAACAACTATGAGATATTAGTGTGAAGCTAAAATTAAGAAACAGAGAAAAGTCTCACCCCTCAATAGGATGTAACTATGAAAAATCTTTTATCTTGAAGAAAGTAATGACAATTGTTGACAAACTGATGCAGACAATGTCTTGTAGACTGGTCACCAGCACCTGTTACATGGTGGCTACCATGGAGAAAAGGAACACTGCATTGGCATGACACAATACTCTCCATTGTAGATATTTCTTCATTGGAAAAATATTTTTGTATCTATGCCTAAAAAGCATCATAAGACAATTCAAATTTTGTCAGTAAGTCAATAGATTCTCAGGCCCTAACAAAACTTGATGAGACACATTTAATATCGCAGCAAATTACAAGGAAGATAAAAATATTAATTAAATAACCTATGGTACTGAGCAACTTGTACATGTGGAACATATTTTTTGTTCCTTACACTTGGAGGAGCTTCTCTTTACTTTTAATTTGCTGCAAGGACTTTCATTTAGTATGTGAGTGTCTGTTTGTTTCATGTACATACATTTTTATTATATATCTCCCATGTAAGTGCAAGAGGTCATTAGGGTACCATATTAGATGTATTTCTCTATTACCCGCTTAACTGTTGCTTTGACACTGGCATTTTGCTTGAACCAAGAGCTCCCCAAGGGGCATGAACGCTGAAAATCTTCATGTCTCTGTTTCCTCTTCCATCAAAGTTGGAGTTAAAGGCATGCATAGCCTTGCCAGGTACTTTACATTAGTGGTAGGAATTTGAAATCTGACACCACACTTACAAGGCAAGTACTCATACTTATCCATCTTTCCAGCCCAGAATCAATCTTCATGCTTTCAAACATACCTCTTACACATTTCTCCTCTAATCCTTGTGTGAATATGCTCAAGCCCTTCCTATCACATGTCCTGTTTATCCACTTTAGTGACTTTTGTAACTGGTAAGCAAGTGAAGATAGTACAGTGCTTTCTAAGGAATTATATGAATTCTCTGCAGGAAGAAAAATCCTCCCTACACCCAAATTTGCTAAGAAATTCTATCTTCTGAAGCTGTTAGTAGTCTTACTCACCAGTGTAAACCATGTTAGCAAGTATTAATGTACACACACACACACACACACACACACACACACACACACACACTATCATGAATATGTAAGGAAAAAAAGGAAAGTTGTTCTACTGTAATTATTCAGTTTCTGCTACTGCAAATTGATTTGTTTGTCATTGTTTTTGGAATGATTATTTCTTTTAGTTAAGCACAAATGACATTTTCTAGCAAACTACTTTGTACTTTTTGTGGGAAAGCGGGGTATCAAGATATTGGTTCATTTGTTTTTTAACCATTTATTTTCTCAGGTAGTATGAACAAGTTGCCAAGTCATAATTTCATGGATAAAAATGCTACCAACAAAACTCTTCAACCTATTTCCTGAAAATCACATACTTATGAAGATATAGATCATAAGGAAGATGTATATGGAATTATTTAAAATTTACTGAGTACTGCTGTGCACTATGGAGAATAAAATATGGCCTAAATATTTGTGGTATTGGGAACAAAGAGACTGCAAGTTCAAGAAGGTAGCCTGCAAAAATTATTTTGAATTAGGCTTCTAACTAACAATCCAATAAGTCTTTTTATTAACAGCTTCCATGTAATGTAATTGCTTCATCATTTTTGTTGCATAACCTCCTTCTAATTTAAATGTTCCACATTCCCAGTATATTTCCATTGAAAACATTATTCTGTGAGACTCAAAACATAAGAATTCATTCTACTTGGTATTTCATCTTCTTTGCTTTTAAGTTGTTTTTAATTTCTCTTTAAGTGTTGATTCTGTGTCTGTGGGTGAGTCTCCAGGTATGTTTGTAAATGTAAGTCAAATGCCATTAGACCCAGAAGGGAACATTGGGTCCTTTGGATCTGGAGTTACAATTAGGACTTGCTTGATATGTGTGCTGGGATCTGAACTCTGGTACTCTGAAGGGCAAGAGGCTTTGCACCACTGAACCACATTTCCATCCCATAAAAATGCTCACACACACACATACACACACACACACACACACACACACACACACACACACACAAACACCGGCACTTAATGTTGCTCCAATCACTTAAATTCACACCCTTCATTTTAATACATACTAATAGTTTGCAATACTATCCAACAATATTCATGTTTATTTTATTAACCTCTGGCACAGTATTATTTACTACCAAAAAATCCTCTACTTATAAAGACCCAAATCTCAGAGGCTTATAACAACAAACTCATAATGTACAGTCACAGGTAGCAGACCTTTCAATACATGGGGGACATAAGAGCATGACACAGAACCAATAACAGATAATGTATCATTTCTTGCAGAAATTCTTCAGTCAGTGGAAATCAACAATATCAAGCTTAACAAAATAGAGACTGAATCACTATCTCAATAAATTACAACACAGTGCAATATAATGTAATTTATCAGAGTTGCTTTATATAAGTTTATGAACTGAGTAACATAATATTATGGTGTGTTTACAATACAGTTATATATTGAAACCTCTAGAAACTTGACTCTTTTCTGGGCATACAGATATATTATTAGAAAATAATCAACATTTTAAAAATAAAAAGGTTAGCCCATAAGTGAACTACTGTGAATACTTGCTTTAGCGAGCATGCCTGTATAATTTCCTGATGCAGCTCATGAAATTCTGCCCTACACCATACAGATGCTCTTTTGCAGAGTTTTGCTTAGCTATTCCTTCTTTGCTTAGGTCAACACTGTGTAGTGTATAGTGTTAGCCTCTTCTAGCAGAACATGTTCTTGATTGCAGTACATTTATTCTTGTAGTTTATTAGAAAATCCATAGGCTCCACTGTTTTGTCAGCACTGTGGATTCTGTGAAGACATGTTTGCAAATATGTATAGGAATACTTGGTCTGAGTTGCAGGAATGTCCAAATATACAAACTATCTTTGACATTATTCCCCACCCTAAAATTATTCAGCAGTCATAGAATACCACATTACCATTTATTATTTAAATAAGACTTAACATTAATAGAGGACCCCAGTTTAAAAAGGTGAAAATGCTATTTTCTTGTGCCTCTTAATCACATTTGCTCCAACATATCCCTCCAGACTTGACTTTCTCCTTCTTATATTCCTCTTTCACACAATGTTCCATAATACTCAGGTTTTGGATTGCTACCCCCTTTTTCCAGCCATTTCATAACATGCATTTGGCAGGCAAAGAAGCTCCTGTGCACAATCAGGTGTTTGTGTTGGCATCTCACCCTGGAAGAGGTTGATTCAGATGCTTGCCACACCTGTGAATTTTCTGCCCAGTTTTCACTGACTCCTGTGAACTTAATTATCATGTTTTGTTTCAAAATTCTAAGGCAAAAGAGTTGAGAACTCAATGTTCTTCCTTCCAGCCAGCTCTGATAGCATTATTCCTAACAAAATAGTCCATAATAAAAGTTAGCATTTCTAAATCATCACTGGATTTTGATCTATAGGATAAGGAATGAAACACAACTCGTTATCTTTGAAACACTAATTAATTCTAGTCCCCAAAACATCTCTGCTTGCCCATCAGATAAAGGCCACAATGCTAAAGGTGTGACGCTTTGACAAGCTAAAGAACCACAAATGAGCTTGAAAAACACTATTTTTCCAAGATGTTACACTTAGGCATCAAAAGACGAACATTGTAATAAAAATATAATTGTAAATGTAATGAGACTGGAAACATGTACTTTACTCAATGTCAACCAAAGATGTCTTATTCCCTTAAATTAAAATGTTTTAATTCACTGGTGATTAGGGTTCAACATTATCAAAGGGGCACAGTTAAGTTAATAATGTTCTACTATCTGTACCTCACTTTGAAAAACATAGCAAAAGAGTTTAATGGAGAAAGGATTATCATTAGAACAAACACTACAGAAACAGCAGGAAATAAACCAGCAAGTAGATTAAGAGCAACCTCCACTTTCCAAACTTCAAATGAATATATAATACAGAATTTGAATCAACATATGTGGTATCCCAGAACTGTTCCTCAGGACTGGAAAAAGCATAGTTTGAAAATTCTTACAAGGAAACAAAAACAATCACTAGAAAAAAATCATGGATAAGTTAGACTTCAAGATTTCCACATATCATATCACTGCAGTACAAAGTAGAGAGAAATAATGACCTATCACATGGAAGAAAATATTTTCAAATGATTATCTGACAAAAATTTAGTGTCTAAAATGCAAAAGAAACCCGTTTTGCCCTTCCAAAATAAAAGTGAAATATCCATATGTGTGTGTGTACACATACAAAGATACTCAAAATCAATAGGAGTAAAAAAGATGCAAGTAAAAATGAAAATGTGTATCTGTCACTTCACATTTTTTAAAATTGGAATAATTAAAACAAAGCATACAATGACAAGTTTAAGAAAGAACATGAAATAAATGGAATTTTCTGACTTGCTTCTAGGATTAAAAGGGAAGGAACCACAACGAGTTTGGCAGTTTATCAAAAACCCAAAAATAGAGTTATCAGAAGACCAGGCAATTTATTCTTCAATATGTACATAAAACTTGTACAGAGATGTTCATAAAAGCATTATTCATAATAGCCTGCAGGTAATAACAGCCCAAGTTCCCATCGACTGATAACTACATAAAAAGATGTAAAACAATATTATTCACCCATAAACAAAGACATGGAATATAGAATTCATGAACCTTGAAAACAGGAAATGAAAACCACACATAAAGAGCTACATATTACATGCAACTATATCAAAAATTCAGATTTAAGAAATGAATACAGATGGAAAGAAATTTAATATTTTATGGGGACTTTGAAAAGAAAGAAAATGAGAATGACTGCTAGTGGGTATGACATTTTTTTGGAGAAATGTGGAATTATTCTGAGCTAGTTAGTGGTGATGGTCTTGGAAACAAAACAAAAAATTGTTTGCTATAAAGTATGCTTTTATAATAATTGAATATCTCAGCAGCATAAAAGTAAACAATCTGTTAATGTATTAACCATATTGAAATAGTTCCAATACAGTGTATGATGTCTGAGGAGTAAATTAAAAGAATTGACAATATATGACAAAATCTCATTTATGTACCTGGAATGTACAAAGTGATCTGCAGTGATGGGGTCAAATCAGAATTTGAAGGGCAAAGCAAGAAGAAGGAATTGCAAAGGGCTACAGACAATCTTTAGAAGCTGATAATGTGTTTATTATCTTGATTTTGGCAATAATTGCATGGATGAGTAGGTATGAATTAGCTTATCAATTTGTATCTTACATATGTGTTGATAATATGATGAAATGAGACATAACTGTTCGATCTTTTTGGGTAAACAATTATCCAAATACTTTATTAGGCCCTCAAGATAGAACAATGAGATGAAGATTTAAATTATTTTCCATTTTGAAGGAAAAAGAACATGCAAGGAAACAAAACTGGACTCAGAAAATATTATCTTAAAGTGGAGTCTCCAATAAACTTGAGACAAGTGTAAATGGATAAACACAAAAGTTTAGCAACAGTTTTCTTTATTTTAAATAAATATTTTACTTATTATTTTATTTCATTGAAAGTAGTTTTTCTCTCTCCTCTCTTCATTTTGTTTAAATTAGAAACAATATTGTTTTACATGTCAATCCCAGTTCCTTCTCCCTCCCCTCCTCCCCTATTCCAGACCAGTCCCCTATCCCAACCACTTTCTGCTCTCCAGAGAGGATAAGGGCTACCATGGGGGATCTTCAAAGTCTGTCACATCATTTGGAGCAGGGCCTAGGCCCCCGCCAAGAATCTATGCTGAGAGAGTATCCCTCTATGTGGAATGGGCTCCTACATTCCATTCATATACTAGGGATGAATACTGGTTCATTACCAGAGGCTCCATAAATTGCCCAGTACTACTAGGTGACACCCAAGTTCAGGGGACCTGATTTAGTCCTATGCTTGTTTCCCAGCTATCAGTCTGGGGTCCATAGGTTCCCCCTTGTTCAGTACAGTTGTTTCTGTGGGTTTCTCCAACATTGTCTTGACCCCTTGGCTCATCACTCTTTCCGTTCTACAACTGGATTCCAGGCGTTCGGCTTAGTGACATTAGCTAATAGAAGCAAAAGCAGAGATTCACAGGTAAGCACTGAAAATAGATTTTAATGTGATATATTTTATTTACAGTTCCCACTACCCCTGCTCTTCCTAGTTTCTCCCCCACCTCCCCTACCATCTGGATCCACCCCCCTTTCTGTCTTGGGTTAGAAAACAAATATGCATCTAAGAGTTAATAATAAAATAAAAGCTATCCCATTGGAATATGTACAAACAGAAGAAAAATGACAAAAAAAGCACAAGCAACTTAAAAGTCATAAAAACATACACGTTCACTCAAGCAGGAATCACATCAAACCAAAACATCAGAACCCATAATATATACCAAAAATTCCTATGAGGAAAAAGATAAAACAAAAAACAAAGTCCTGGCAAAATGCAATATTATAAGAGGAAGAGCCTCCAAAGACGCTGCTGACTGTCTCTGGGCATGGGGACCACTACCCAGAGGCAAACACACAATTAATCACTGAACTGAACCCAAGGAACCCAGTGACAGAGAGAGAGGAGTGATGAGCAAATTGGCAAAGAATCGGCTGGCAAAACCAGCAGAGACAGCTGATCTGAACAGGGGAGAGCTCTTGGACCCCAGACCGACAGTGGGGAGGCCAGCATGGGACTGATCTGGACCCCCCCAAATGTGAGTGTCAGCGAGAAGGCCTGGGCAACCTATGGGGCCCTGAGCTGTGGATCAGTGTCTATCCCTGGTATACAAACAGTCTTCGTGTGCTTATAGCACAAAGAGGGATGCTCTCTCAGCCTGGACTCTTAGGGGAGTGCCTGGACCCTACCCAGAGTAAAATGACAGACTCTAGATATCCCCTATGTGGAAGGATTTGGCAATAGGGTGGGAGGGTGGGGGGGAAGGGGAGTGCGGGAGGAGGGGAGGGAGAGGGAACTGGGATTGACATGCAAAACAAGCTATTTAAAATTAAAATTAAAAAATGATATAAAAAAAGAGTGCATTTAGTACCAGTGAAACTCTCTTGAAGAAAAAACTTTTTTTCATTTGAAAGTGGTTATAGCTTCTGGGTTAGGGATGGGAGCATTTGTAAACTTCAATTAACTCAGCCTCCAGCTTCCCATTCTCATGGGAAAGTGAAAGTCAGCCATATTGCCAGTTTATTTCAGTAAATACATACTTTACAACAGAAGCAATTGTCTTATCTTTGGACAGGTAGATATAAATTGACATTGATGGCTGGAGAGATAGGTTAGCGGTTAAAAACTCTGACTGTTCTTCTTTTCCCAAAAGATTTTATTTAACTCCCAGCACCCACAG